TTTTTTTTTTTTGCAGTTTTTGGCTGGGTCCAGGTTTGAACCCCCCACCTCCGGTATATGGGGCCCGCGCCATACTCCTTGAGCCACTGGGGCCAGCACCCTACTCCTTGAGCCACAGGTGCCGCCCCCAAAGGAAAAGTTCTTGAAAGAAATTAAAAGTGGTACTCCAGTGAACACAGTGAAACAGCCTTATTACTGATAGGGAAGAAGTTTTAGTGTTCTACCAGACACAGTAGTTCCTTACACCAAAGCCTCAGTTCTGTGAAGACTGAAAAAGGAGAGGAAGCTGCAGAAGTTGATTCAAGATGTTTGAAGAAAGAAGCCATTTCTGTAACATGAAAGTACAAGGTGAAGCAGCAAGTGTTGATGCAGAAAGCTGCAGCAGTCTATCCAGAAGACATAGCCAAGGTAATCCACCAAGGGACATATTTTCAACACAACTACAACAGTCTTGTATTGGAAGAAGATGGCATCTAGGACTTTCACAGCTAGAGAGGAGAATTCAGTGACTGGCTTCTGAGCTCTGAAGGACAGGCTGACTCTCCCATTCAGGGCTAAAGCAGCTGGTGAATTTGAGTTGAAACTAGTGCTCAGTTACCATTCTGAAAATCCATGGGCCCTTAAAAATTATGTTGAATCTACTCTGCCTGTGCTCTGTAAATGGAGCAATAATGCCTGGATGACAGCACATCTATTTACAGCATGGTTTCCTGAGTATTTGAAGTTCACTGTTGAAAACTACTCAGACACCTTGCCTGCTCACCTAGGTGCTCTGATGGAGAGATTCATGGAGATTATTGTTTTCATGCCTATTAACACATTTGTTCTGAAGCTCAAGGATCAGGAGTAATTTGAACTTTCAAATTTATTCATCTTTATTCTCTTATAAATAATTTTTTTTTTTTTTTTTAGACGGAGCCTCAAGTTACCCCCTGGGTAGAGTGCCATGGCATCACAGCTCACAGCAACCTCCAACTCCTGGGCTCAAGCGAGTCTCCACCTCAGCCTCCCAAGTAGTTGGGACCACAGGCGCCCGCCACAATGCCCGGCCATTTTTTGGTTGCAGCCGTCATTGTTGTTTGGCGGGCCCGGGCTGGGGATTCGAACCCACTGCCTTAGGCGCCAAGCCATAAATAAATTTTATAAGGCTATAGCTGCCATTGATAATGATTCCTCTAATGGATCTGGCAAAATAAATTGAAAACCTCTGGAAAGTAATTAACCAGTCTAGATGCCATTAAGAACAATTGTATTCATGAGAGGAGGCTAAAATAGAAATATTAACAGGAGTTTGGAAAAAGTTGATTTCAGCCCTCATGGATGATGTTAAGGAGGTTCAAGTGTCAGTGGAGGAAGGAACTGCGTGTGATAGAAATAACAAGTGAGGCTCGGCGCCTATGGCTCAAGTGGCTAAGGCGCCAGCCACATACACCTGAGGTGGCGCATTCAAATCCAGCCCGGGCCCGCCAAACAACAATGACAGCTGCAACCAAAAAATAAAAAAATAGCTGGGCATTGTGGTGGGCGCCTGTAGTCCCAGCTATTTGGGAGGCAGAGGCAGGAGAATCGCTTTAGCCCAGGAGTTGGGGGTTGCTGTGAGCTGTGATGCCGTGGCACTCTACCCAGGGGGACAGCTTAAGGCTCTGTCACAAACAAACAAATAAAAAAATATATTTCTTTAGTCTCAGATATTGTAGAAAAAGTAGTTAAAAAATAAACATCAGGGGATGCCTCTGTACTGACTGTGTGGGGCCCATGCTCCCCCCCCACAAGCACACTGCGTTCCTGACCCTGCCCCACCATGTAAATGGCACTGGCAGGCAGACGCTGGTTTCTCTGTCTGGGACCCCTCCGCCTCAACCCAGCCAACTCTGGCCCTAGATGAGGACACACCATGCTGACTGGGGTGACAGATGGTATCTTCTGCCTGCTAGGCTCACCCAGCAACTCCGTAGCACTGTTGGAGAGCATGGAGTCCAGCGATGGCTACACCTTTGTGGAGGTCAAACCTGGTCATGTGCTGTGGGTAAAGCACGCTGGACCCTCCCAAACCCCCACTCCACCTCCATCATCACCACAAATGCTGCCCAGGGGGACAGATCTGGCTTGGTCCACTACCAGTGCCGGATCACTGTCTACCACAAGGGGCGGTTACAGGTGGAAAACCTGGGCCGGACACCTCAAGCTGACTTTCTGCATGGACAGAAAGGCTCTGGAGAGCCTCCTGCTGCCCTGGAGGTGGAGCTGACTGACCCAGCGGGCAGTGCCAACAGTGGCAATGGTAGTAGTGGACAGCGGCGGCGAGCCAGATGCCCCAAGAGGACCATCCACACTGACTGTGAGAAGCGCATCACTATCTGCAAAGGCACCCAGGCCGATGTGGTGCTCTTTTTCATCCACGGTGTTGGCGGCTCCCTGGCCATCTGGAAGGAGCAGCTGGAATTCTTTGTACGCCTAGGCTATGAGGTGGTGGCACCTGACCTGGCAGGCCATGGGGCCAGTTCTGCACCCCAAGTGGCTGCAGCCTGTAACTTCTATGCACTGGCTGAGGACATGCAGACCATCTTCAAGCACTACGCCAAAAAGCGAAATGTGCTCATTGGGCATTCCTCTGGTGTCTCCTGCACATTCCTGTCACATGAGTGCCCAGACCTGGTGCACAAGGTGATTATGATCAATGGCAGGAGCCCCACTGCACTGGAGCCAGGCTTCTGCTCCATCTTCAATATGCCCACCTGTGTCCTGCACTGCTTTTCACCCTGCCTGGTCTAGAGCTTCCTCAAGGTTGGCTTTTGCCCACCAAGGGGCCAAGGAGAAGTAGCTCGTTAAGAGGGCAGTGCCTTCAACATGTCATCTTTTGTGCTACGGGCCATGATGAGTGGCCAATACTGGCCCGAAGGTGATGAAGTCTACCACGTGGAGCTCACCGTGCCCGTCCCGCTTGTCCATGGTATGTACAAGTTTGTGCCAATGGAGGAAGACCAGTGCATGGCTTGTTTCTGGCCTTCCTGAAGCTCATCGACGAAGGCAGCCACATGGTGATACTGGAATACCCTGAGACCGGTAACACATTGCTCCACAAGTTCCTGCTCTAGGACGCCAAGCCTTCGTCCCAGGCTCTGCCCTTGCCCCTACCCGTGCCTCCAGAGGAAAAGAAGTAGCTGCCAAGCCAGCACGGCATTGCTTGGTGAGCAGAGCCGCAGGAAGATGAGGCCAGGAGCCAGTGCCAGGTCCGCAGTGCGGACCAACCGGGTCAGCCTTTTGCCCTGGTGGGCGGGGGCCAGGCCGGTTGGGCATGGTGTGGTGTCTGAGGGAGCCTAGTTGGACGCTCGGCTCTCCTCTTCAGTCCTACAAGGCCCATTGGTGTTTTTGTGCCAAAGCCAGGATCCCCGCGGAAGATGACCTTGTACAAAAGTCCCTCTTTCTAACCCCTCCAGCCAAAGAGACGCCGAGACAGGCCCTCCCCACCCTGCTCTCTTGTCTTCCGTGTCACCGGGCTTTATCTTGGGACTCCCAAGCGCCCTAGGGACCCTCAGGGCCCTGTCACCTCATTCCTCGGCTCTGGGAGCTATCTTTTGCCCACAGGGTAGGGAAGAGGGGCTTGCGCCACTGAATCTGTGCATCTCAACTTGAGACTCAATAAAAAGTGATAATCGGAAGAATTAAAAAAAACCATCAGAGCTGAGTGTGGTGGCTCATCCCTATAATCCTGGCACTCTGGAAGGCCAAGGTAGAAGGATCCCTTGAGCTCAGGAATTCAAGACCAGCCTGAGCAAAATAAATTAGAAAAATTAGTCTGAATGTGGTGACTGATGCCTGTAATCCTAGCACTCTAGAGTCTGGGGCAGGAGGATCCCTTGAACTCAGGAGTTTGAGACCATCCTGAGCAAGAGTAAGACCTCATCTCTACCAAAAATAGAAAAATTAGATAGGTGTTGTAGCAGGCACCTGTAGTCCCAGCCACTTTGGAGGCTGCAGAAAGATTGCTTGAACTCAGGAGGTTGAGGTTGCTGTAAGCTAGGCTAATTCCATAGCACTCTACTCTGTCTCCAAAAAAATAAAATCAGAAGAAACTGGGTTTTTTTGAAGACAGAGTCTCAAGCTGTCACACTGGGTAGAGTTCTGTTGCAATCTTAAACAGCAATCTCAAGCTCTTGGGCTCAAGTGATCCTCTTGCCTCAGGCTCCCAAGTAGCTGGGACTACAGGCGCCCACCACAACGCCTATTTTTTTGTTGTTGCAGTTGTCCTTGTTTTAGTTGGCCTGGGCTGGGTTCGAACCTGCCAGCCTCGGTGTATGTGGCTGGCACCCTACTCACTGAGGTATAGGCACTGCCCAGAAGAAATTTTGATTTCTTTTTAGACAGAGTCTTACTGTGTCGCCCTCGGTAGAGTGCAGTGGTGTCACAGCTAACAGCAACCTCAAGTTCCTGGGCTCAAGTGATTCTCTTTGCCTCAGCCTCCCAAGTAGCTGGGACTACAGGTGCCCACCACAACGCCCAGCTTTTTTGGTTGCGATTGTCATTGTTGTTCAGCTGGCCCAGGCTGGGTTCGAACTCACCACCCTTGGTGCTTGCAGCTGGAGCCGAAACCACTGTGCTACAGGTTCCAAGCCCAGAAGAAATTTTGTAAATAATTTTGTTGACAACGTTTTCCCCCAGATTTCTAGTTTGGAATAAAAGTCAATATTTTTATAATCTATATATTTCTTTTTTCTACTTAGGGATCCATCTGTTTCTAAGTCTATAGAACGAATCTTTAAAATCTGGGAAGATAGAAATGTATACCCGGAAGAAATGATTGTGGCATTGAGAGAAGCTTTGAGTAAGTATCTTTTTCTCCCCTAAAAGAAAAATATGAGTCAGTCTTTACAATTATATATTTTATAGATTTGGTCATGCTTCATAATAATGAAAAAGTTTTGGATCTGGCCCTGACTAATGTAGATTTGTTTGAATTAAAATTTAAGTAGAATTGATTTGGGGGATGGGGTTGGATTTTGTTTTTATTAACTACATAAAACATTAAGTGATGATAAACATCTGATTATTTTCCTGCATTTTCTTTCATTGAGTGTTCCAAGTGGTTCATTGTTTATTTTTAATTAGTACTGCCCTAGCCTCATACTGTTGGCCAATTTTTGGACAGGGTTTCAGTTCTCCCTAAGCTATTTGGTTGTAAGCACTTATTGATATTCTTCAGATTCTTCTGATTTAGATTTACAGTAAGTTGTATGCCTGCTTTTTTAAAAGGAAAAACGTTCTTATGTATTAGTTATTAGTTGCTATGTGTTAGATGCATGCAATCAAGTCATTGAATAGGTGTTGGTGATAATCTGCTACCATGACCATCATTTGACTGAAAGTTTGCCTTAAAATTTAATAACATGTTCTAAGAAGCTGTTAAATGTTTCATTTCAATTTGTTAACTGGTATTTTTAAGCATCCTAACCTATCCTTTTTGGAACTGATAATTTCATTGATTATAGAAATCATGTTTATTTGACAGCTTCTTAGATCGGTGGGAATTTCTATTTTTTTTCTATAAAAATGAAAGAAAAAGAAAGAAACAACACACAGTCTCGGATTGCCTTTTTTCATGCTACAACTTTGGCTCTGAAGTGGACAGACAGAACAGCTTCCCATAATGCCAGATTGCAAAAACTGAAATGTTTTCCAGGTACCACTTTCAAAACTCAGAAGCAGCTGAAAGAAAATCTGAACAAACAACCGAATAAGCAGTGGAAGAAATCACAAAGTAAGGAACAAAATCTCAACTAATAATAAAATTACCTCCTCTTTTTGGAGCAGAAGAAAATGTAGACCATTTGACATCGTACCTGGCATAAACCATGGGCAAACCTGTGTCTTCCAGGCTTGGGAGGCTCCCAGTGACTTACACTAAACAAGCCATCATGGAGTTACTTCTTTAAAAAAAAAAAAACACTTTTAAACAAAAGGAAATGCAGAAAAAGGGTTTAATTGAGTGAAGATTCAAGAGTAGTTGGGGGATTGAATGAAGAAAAAAAGTACTTGATAGTACCCAGGCTAATTCTCAGGTTCAAAGATATGAAGTTAGAGACAGCTGGCATTAAACCACAGATCTGAAGAGGAGACTAGGCATTAAGAAGCATTTCTATGGGAACCATGAAATCCTTCAGATTTGGGGATACACTCTACCAAATTAGACATGGGCCTCAAATCCTGGCCAGAAGCTCATTTTCTAACTGGAGCTCCTGTTACGTTATCATATTTACCCAGCATGAGATCAAGGGAGTGGAATACTGCATGTGATAGGCTGCTGTGGGCACTCTGAGCAATATTGAGAGACTTGAAGGTATGGAGGGAACAAGGTAAAAGACAGTGAGAACTGGGAGGTAAAATGAGACACTTGGGATGGCTTTGCTCCAGCGAGCATGTGGTACTCATCATGATAAAGGGAGTCTTCCAACATCCTTTTGGTCATAAGTTGCATGCTTGGGAACAAGAGTCATCATTTCAGCCAAAGTTCAACCACAGTGGTAATGTACTTAGAACTTTCCTTGCCAATTTTTGCTATGAATTGAGTCAGCAGAAAAAGAAATTCAAAGCTGAATACATAGGAATACAGTTGATGTTTTTAAATAATTTTCTTCAGCCAGTGCTCAGGGTTAATTGGATGTCCTGTTCCTGAACAGACTTAATTTGAGGTACTGAGATCTTATACTCAGTCAGACTAGAAAAGGAAGGTTCTTCATGTATCTTAATATCTTCAAATCAGTAATTCTAGGACTTTATGAATTGAAGGGTCTGTTGGAGGTAAGTGGGTTAAGCCTGTCTAAGTAGTATATTTTTATATTGACCATGCTTGGGAGTTTTATTTCATAGTCCATTATTTCTTCTCAGAATTAAATTATGATTTAAATGTGCATGTTTGCCTTATTTGAAAGAGTACACCCTTAACTGTAGAGCTAAAGTTTTTCCTGGGTAATATTCAACTCTTTGTGTATATATCCTTTTTTTTTTTCCCCATTCAAATGTGTCTATATTCTTAATGACCTCTTATTTAATTCCAACAGCATCCACGAATCCAAAAGCTGCTCTCAAGTCTAAGATAGTTGCTGAATTTCGAGTAAGTTATAGACTTTAATATTGCAAAGCATTATTCACCCTTTTTGTGTTATAGTTTCCTATATAGTCTCACTAAGACATATTTTTCTTCAATTTTACATCAGTAGTGTTTAAACTGTTCTTAAGAATCCAAATTGAGATTAGATTGCTTGGAATTTTATTTGTTCCATGAATGGGAGAAATAACCTTCTATCACCAGCTGAGTTCTATATTGATTTTTTTTTTTGGAGACAGAGTCTCACTTTATTGCCCTCTATATTGAACTTATGCCACCAAGGGAGTTTATCTTTCTATGAAGCTCTTCTCAATTAGAATTTGCTTAGAGTATCAGAAGTCTATGTTTACATAATTAAAATTTAAAGAGGCTGTAAATGGGCCTTTGTTTCGGTCTTAACCCTTTTTTCATAAACTAGGCTTGAGTAGTTGAGGAAAAGGATATTTTACAGTATATAGCCAAAAATATAGTTTTGACAAATGAGACTCTTCAATCATTGATACCCCTATAAATGAGGTAAAAGAAATGGTTTTCCTCCTGTCAGGGTTTTGCTAGG